CTCTTGAAAGAGGATACCTTCAATTTTCAGACTTGCTCCCGGGACTTGCTGCATATACAGTGTGTGTGTCTGGTCGAATGTGGATGTGATATTGATAGAGTGTGTTGTGAAAGGGTACTATGAGTTGTTAAGACGTTAAATAGTTCATTAACTTTGTGATGCTACTGTTTTACAGAGTTAAAAAATATAAATGACACGGTCAAGAAAGCAATTTAATTAAAGGAAAATGGGCTCCAACAATTAAAAGTTTTCTTTGAATTCCTTTCCTTTTATCGCAAACAAAGCTAATCTCTTGTCCATTACGTTTTTCCCTGAAATTAAAATGAAACAAGAAAAATCGATAATGTTGATGAAAATCGATAAAATCGATGACAATTGATGAAAATCAATGCAAATCGATGAAAATCGATACTCACAATTTTCTTGGTGATCAATTTTCATCGATTTCCGATATTAATCGATTAATTAATATCGATTATATTGATCGATATTGATTATATCGATTATTGGTTTTCATCGATTAGGCATGCGGGGATGTAGAAAAGTGTCAGAAGTGTATGTCATGGTGCTGTCAGGGGTGGGAGGGGAGTTGGTGGTGGTGAGTTAGGGTAGGGTGGACACACTCATCTGTCTTTATCTCGGAAGACCAATAATTCATCTAAGTTTTAGATAAGAAAAGTCAATGATGACTTACAATACTGTAATGAGCTAATTGTATAAGACCACATTAATAGTTATGACTGCGTTGTTCTGTTTCTTTTTTGGGCGTCTCGCTCTTGAATATGTTTTTATTTGAACACTTGTCATAAAGTGCAGTTGCAACACAATGTGTTCTGTGTTTTTCAAGTAGTAAACTTACGAGTTCCAGGGAAATGAGCTTGAATCTTCTGAATAAAAGGGAGTAATGGCGAGTTTAAATAAGAATAGGTCCGCAATGCGAAATTGTGTGGGATTTCAGTCAAATAAAAGTTGATGCGCTATGGATTACGATAAATCAGAGAAATTGTAGCTTTACAGTGAATACTGTGATACATTTTGATGAATGTTGAATAAAGATACCATGGAGTCCTGATTATAAGATCCCAAGCTGCAGATGAAAAAACGGTTACAGGAGAAACATGTTTGGACTTTAGTTTCCTGAAAATTCACTCCCTTAGGGTTCAGTTACGGGTAACTCTTTACCTTGGTAAATGACCCTTTTACCACGTGAAACTGCATTTAGCGAGTATGACCAATATTTTCGGAGGTAAATTTCCCGTGGTTAATACCCATGGATACATAAAAAAGATCACATGCAGCGCCCTTGACATTTAATGTGGTAAGTTGCATTGGTGTTTTGATGTCCAAGGTATTAGGAGCAAATCATGTTTCTCTGTTTGTCATTAATATGTAACCAAAAAGGAAAAATGGTTTTCCTCCATGTGCCATTTTTGTTAACTTGGCAAAATCCTGTGTAACTGTTGTTTCACAGCTTTATTTCATTGGCTACATTTGTCCTGGGATTTGTTGATTAATTCCAGTGGAGACAAATAGTTCA